AAGAACAGCCCTGCATAGGAAGAAGAAAAACCCAGAACCACAACGACCTGCACAGGTGAAGAAATGGTACAACGCCTGCATCCCTGACCCTGGCTTTAAAGTTCCAGTCTTTATTTCCCCTCCAGCTCTTTCCTAAGGTGACTATGGAGCTTTTTATTTGGGTGGGGAAATGGAAGAGTCTTACTCTGGGTGGAGTACTTGCTCCCTAAATTTTCCCAGCGAACGCAGATGGGATTTGGTGCACCCAGGAACGAGAGCGGGCACCTTTCAGCCTTCCTCCAGTGTCACGCTCATACCAGCAAGGAGATCTGATTCTAGCAATTACTTCTGGTCTGCTCTGCTCTGAAGCTAAGAAACATCCTCCCTTTATCTTATTTCATGCTCTTCACTACAGAACCTGAGTGCTTTCCTCAGCCAAATTTCTCAGCTCACCACCTGCTTTCCCTGCAAACACCTGTGGAGATCTGAAGGCAGAACCGTGTCTGTTGCTGCAGTTATGAAAATAATGTAGGACTCACATCATGCTACCCTTATGCTTAGACCCTCTTTCATCAAGCAGCATTACTGAATCATTTTATTGAACTCTTTTCAGGATCTGTTCCAATTTCTTCTACATTTTGAACCACAGATATTAGGTGTGACCCGGTGTGGGTCTGGCTGGCAGATGCATTTAGTCCGGATGAGACCAGGCTGAAACTGCTCTATGGTCCACCCAGCATTCATGGGAGAGTATTACATGCAGGAGATCGCAGTGCTTCTATTAGCAAAAGGATACCCTGCCAGCACACCTGGCTGCTGCTCCCCAGGGCACCTACCCTGAGCCCTGCTATCTCAGCAGGAAAGATCCTGATGCTTCAGAATGGGTCCTTTCTAGGAGACTTTGGATGGAACCATTTCTGTACGTTAGGAGCCGAGAAGATGTCACCTATTTGTTGTTACTGTTGTTTGTTTGTTTTCGCCTTACCTAAAGCTCTTTTCTTTCATCATTTCCTGTCATCTGAAAAAAAGCTCAGATACATTTTTGTGTCTGGACAAATCTCAGAGCCATCACTTAATCCTTCATCCAACATCACACTTTGCTTAAGTGACTTTACAGAACTAAGCCTATATGGAACTGACTGTAGTATTTTACACTCGCTGTGAAATATTCTTCCCCTATGTGACACCAACTAGTCTTGAAATGCTGTAAAAATGCTGACAGAAGAAATACCAGAGAATGGTTTTAAAAAGCTTGTGAAGGATCAGTAGGTCCAGAGGTGGTTTTTTGTTTTTTTTTTTTCAGCATAGGAACAGCTAGGGGACATTCAAAACCAAACGGAAAAAAATCCTAGAGGACACAAAAGATTTAGTGCATTTCAGGGAGTCACCAACATGAAAGGTAGCATATTTTGGTGGAGGCTGGAGGGGACAGGATCTGATGGACAGTATGTCAGCCCCACAGTGGTAACAGGGCGGGGGGGCAGGCAGCACTGCTGGAACAAAGGGAAAGCAATGAAATGAGAAAGGTAAATGAAGCGAAGTGTAGCATCAGGCAGAGGCCCCAACATCACAAACACAGTCACAGTGTACAGTCTCATAGATCCCCCGAGTTTTACATTGAAGAGAAGTGACAAAATCATCAGGAGAGAAATGAGAATGACCAGCAGAAGCCTGAGGAGGAACAGTGTGAGAAGAGAGTCAAAAACACTAAAGAGCTGCCTGAGGTTAGTGCTACTGGACTATGATTTATGAAGGGATACATTCAGAACTGCCTCAAAGGTTAAATGTGAGCTTGGACAAGAGCATGAGAAAAGAAAATCTTTAAGAGACCACGATATAGGCAAGATACATTGCACACATAGCTCAGCTATCGCAGCTGAATCCCTGAACGGCAGCTCTTTGCCTGACCGTCCTCGAGTGGCATTTTCTTTATGCCTTTGTCATTTGAACCCAGACATCTCCACTGCTACAGCATCTGAAACACAAAAAGGAAGGAGCCCAGAAATAAGGCTTGCGGAAGGCTCATTAAAATCATACTAGCCTTTCAGGATTTGGATTTCAAATGTAAGCACTAGTCCACATATGTGCTTGCAGCATAGATTCATGTAGGCACACATAGAAACATCTCGATTAGGTTGCATATTCTGCTGCTCATCAGATCTCTTTAAGTACTGTTTAGCTGTGTTTTAAAGCTTTTTTTCTCACTAATCTAGATACAAATGAAAGTAATTTATGCAAACGTCTCCCACGGTGGCTTTGGAGACCAAATTGGTACTTCTCACCTCTCAAAGAGTCATGGTAGAGTTGCATTTCTAACAAGCGACTCTCGTTTGGGTTTTCCCATGTCCTTTCTGCATTCTGGAAGAAGCCATCTGCCTTTCAAAACAAGTGGTTCCACTCTTTCCTTCCCAGACCCACAAGCCACATTCTCCCTTTGCATTTGTCCACCTACAGATTGCAGTACGGACCTCCTGAGGGGTGGAATTTGTGGCCAGTTAATTTCATTCTGCTCCATCTATAATTATGGGTATTAATCTGCTTTAGATTTGAAACATATAGACATTTTTCGCTCAGCATTGTTACATCTTTAATTACGACCTTAGGTTCAGGTGGTATAATTTTACTTCAGAGATATGCCAGAACACAAGTACTGACATCTCCAGGTTTCCTAGAAATTGCAGGGATCATAGAAATTTAACTTGATAATTACCTCAGTATTTCAAGTCAGACAATCACCTATAAAATAATTACGGGTTGTTGTTTATCCAAATTCACTTTGCTACTAGGTTACTGCAGGTTACAATATATGATGCCTCACAGAAATAGAGGTAGAAATGTATAACGTACCCAAATGCAAGGCTGTTCAACCGGACGTACAAAGAGTGCCAAAAGACAAAGAGAGGCACCTCTTTTCCAACACATAAATGCATAAAACAGTAAACACCACATTTTCAGTTAAGGGATATTCAGAATTCTTTGCTACTGTCTCTTTAGCCACAGAAATCTCTTTCCCCAGGAGACTTCCAAATGTGCAAGGATCACAATGGCACGAATAGGAGTAAAAATATCCTTCACATTCTTCTTGCATTAAATGTTCAATAACTGGCCCCGTATAATCTCTCTTCTTACACTAACAGAAGCAGCCTCAGCCAGCATTTCATCATGCTTCTTGTCACAATTATGGTGACTTAAACTATGAACTGCTACTTGCTAGAGTTTCTTTCTTCAGTGTTGAAAAAAAAGCAATTAACAAAGTCCAAAAGGTCCAAAATATTTTAATATCTCATAATTTGATTAGATTTTGTGTTTGTTTGCTTGTGTGTGCTTTTTGTTTGTTTGTTTGTTTGTTTTTCTCCTCAAAAAGCCAATGTTTTTGTGTTACCTCTTGCATGTAAAGATGGAGAAAAAAATTATTTGGCATGAATTCCGTCATGTTGATTCTTCTGGGTTCTCAAATATTATGATCCATGGAAAGTCTGGATTCATGCTTACTTCTACTCTTCATTAAGTCAGTTGTAGTTGAATTGCTGGTAGGGCAGGCTGCTGATACAGTAGGTGGGCATGCTGAATAAAATACATACCACAGCTGTACCTGCACTTGTCAGAGAGCCAAGCTGCTTTATGCCAGTCTGTTCTCCACTGCTTCCTGGTCATAGCCCATCTGTTTCTGAATTCATAAAATGCTGAAGAACACAAATATCTGAACCTATTATAGATAACATGCTTCCATTAAATTCTGATTGTGGGGCTGTGCTTAACAGACTAAAATTGGTAATGCATCTCTTTCAGATTTGTCAATAAATTGGACACCCACTCATAGATATTTCAGTTGAATTCAAAGGCTTTTCTGTGTAGGGACTTTGACACATGGTGCACCTGGCCAATAGTCTTGCAGTTGTGAACAAAATCAGAACTAAAAATAACTATCAAACCAGAGTACGGAAGGCTACTGAGACAGATTAGATAAAAACCTACGTATAGGGAGAGGTCCCACAGTAGGAGTACTTACAGGTGAAGCAAGCCAGACAGGTATTAACCTGAAGCTTACCAATAGCTTAAAAGACTGCATCACCCTTCAGTTGGATTCAATAATGATAGGGCAGACAAAGACGATGGAATTAATCACACCTTACCTTGTACATATAATCTTTGCACTGGGGGTGAAACGCTCAACTTTGCAAGGTCATTTCCACAAAAACTAAGAATTAGAGGAACTCAGCAGGCTGTCAATAACTGATTTAATAGGAACAGACTTTAAACAGGAAAAGTAGGTGAAGGATCTATCCCCAGGAAATTTGCTGAGAATACCTACAGCACCTATGATTAAACTATCTGTCCTCTGGATGTCATCATTGCTCTTTTTATATGCTGTTGGTTAAAGGTGTATTTATGTAGAAAATAACTGTAGCCCTAAGGAAGCTGGCTTGGGTGCATCATTTTTGGTAGCTCAGTGCATTTCTAATTAGAATTGAATACACAAGAGTGCGGTCCAGATCATTACTATTTATGATAATCTACAATGAACCATTTTCTATAATGTAATGCAAAAAAGGACCCCCTGTGCACATTTCATTTGATGTGAATTCACATCTCTGCTTCAAGAAGCACTTTATGCCTCTTCACAAAAAATTTCCATCTTTCCATATGTGCAGCTGAGACATAGCTGCCAGTCAGCAGTCCTGTTTGCAGTATTTGCAAAATCTTTCCTTTAACATGGAATCAGAAGTTCACATTTCAAAAAGAGGGCTCTTGGTTTCTCCAAAAAAAGGAAAGCCCCATTACCAGCAATGTGTCAGAGCAGAAAGGAAACATTTAGAACACACTTAGAACAGACTGTGACAAGGTCAACCCTGAAAAATTTGGTGGAGAACACAGCAAAGCGGGGCACTGCAGATATTCACCCTATTTCCACGAGAGCTGTTATAAGATATAACAGTGAAAGAGTTCAAATAGAAGCAAATCCTAAGCTAAATCGTTCTTTCAGCAAGAGGCATAAGGTTGATTTCTGATCTTCTCAGTACCTTTCCAGTCCAGATGAATCCCAAGACAAGAAGGGGCTCAATGTCCTGGTGCTGTTGAGTCCACTGGCAGGTGGTGCAGACCAAGCTGGCCTCAGCTCACTGGTTGAGGAGGCTGTCATCTGGGTACTTCTCCTGAGCTGTGCCAAATCATTTTTGGCTGCTGTCAGCATCCCTCCTGAAACAGCAGAAACAGCGTCAATTTTAGCAGCTTAGGGAACGCTCTGGAAATCTTTGAAACATAAGTATGATCTCCTTCTCCCTTCTGTATGGTCATTGCACACTGAGCGTTATCAGAGAGCTACAATGCATCAAAAATAATAAAAACATCACTTTTTTGCAGAGGAATTATCGTTGAACTTTGTGAGAGAGAAGCTGCCCAAGTGGTATAAGATAATGCTCAACATATTCCTTCCTAGCAACAAGCATTCTCCTCTCACAAGATCAGCCTGAGTCGCAGTTTGCACTGGAGCAGAGGGACAGGGGTCCAGCTTCATCCAAAGATTAGTTAGGTGTCATTCAGGAAATTGCTTATGCTTAGGTCTGCAGAAAGCAACTGAACTGAACTTTGTGAGACAGAGAGATGGTTTTGTGCCAAGACTCTGAGCTCCTGGTCAGCCAAGCAAAGAGGCACTTAGAGCCTGTTAGTTTCCCACATGCCTATGATGTCGTGGGGAACAGCCACAAGCTCGTACTATCAGCAGGGCTGAACAACTCAGCATATTTTTAATGTCTCAGCCCCAAGAGAATCATGCAATTTGGTAAGTCACAGGTAGAGCAGAATCTTTTAGGTGAGCTAACTGGGCAAATTCCTAAAAATGGATACTGGACTTTCCTAGGAGGAGGTGGAGAGTTTTCTCAGCCTTTTACATAGGAGCTCAGCAGGAAGCATACCAAATTCTGAGGAAAAAGGCTATTTCCAGGTGTTCTTATTTCCAGCTAAGCTGAAACAGAGCAGCAGGTCACAGAAGAAGAAAAAAATGGCTGGATTCTCCTCTCCCAGCGAAGGGCCCCAGCCATGAGAAAAATCAAAGTGTTGTGCCCTTGTTCTGAGTCTTTTAAGCTCAGTTAACCCTTTTCATTTAACGCAAGCAGAGAAGCTTAAAAAGTTTCCTTCCCCATATTCCAATATCCTCTAAGTGGAAGCAGGGCACTGCCCTTGCCTTCTTTTTTTTGGAAGGACGTCTGCTTGGTTCGTTTTTTTAAAAAGATGTGTATACTTTGCCTGCTTTCATGACAAGTTCCCTATTGCCAGTCTAAATACTACAGAGTGTACCTACTGTCTTGCTGAAATGCTGCTCTGCATTCAGCTTGCTAGGGTATTATGCATCTTCCAGCAAGGCAGTCCATGGACAGGTAGTCCTGAGCCCCTCCACCTGCTCGCCACACCAGCAGGTCATGTGGCAGAACTGATCTGAACCCAACAGAGCTACATTTTTCCAGTATTGACATGCACAGGCTCTTAGGGCCTCACTAATAAGGATATAACGATGCGTCATCGTGGTTTTATGGCTTCCAGATCAGAGCTAACCTCAGCTTCATAGGGACGCTGAGAGAGACTGCCCTTAGAGAAGGGCCAAACAGTCTGCAAACATCTCACCGGGTGTCACACAAGCCCATCCTGCCTATCCAACATAGAAGGGTTGTGTCAGTTCATTCCTTACAGCTGGTATAGCTTTTTGTAGAGAAGTATGAAGCAATGTTATTAGAAATGTGGTTCAGGCTGCTCAGTCGATTGTTTTTAAGCTTCCTCTGGAGATGCAAAAATATGGCTAGAAAAATAACTTTGATGTGCTGCCCCATTTCAACACTGGAGTTTTGCCTTGCATGTTAATGTGTATGTTTTCATGCCTCAGCTACACTAACTGTACTCCTTTCCTGTTTCTATTTATTTTGGAAGCAATATATGTTTACTAAATCAGTTGAAAAGTGTTAATGATCAGCTCACAGAATACTAATGTGGACTCAAATTACTTTCACATGAATCAAGACAAATTAAAAAATACTATTTGATCATAAACTGCTTGAATCCTTCTCACAAGAATTCCAATATCTCAGAATAATGATTCCTTCTTTTCACATTGTTAATATCTCCTTAGAAATTTAAATTGATCAGAAAGGTGTAGGGACAAGAATGTGTGGATTATCTCTGGTTCTAGCAACAGAGAAGAGTGAAATAAACCCTACGCATATATGTATATGTGGCAGGAAGGAAGGTATCCAAACTGTTTGCCCTAAAAGCCATGTCTCTTCCATAGTCCTGAAAAAGCAGGAGATGTGAAAGAGTTGTGACATGGGTACACCTAACCCTACTTGCAGCTTATTTTTCTGCCCCGAGAAACAGATATGAAATCTGCAGACTAGTAAACCTAAAAGGCAAAATGGCTCCAGCATAAATTTGTATTTCTCTCCAGAAGATTCCCTAAAATTGAAGCTTAACAAAGATGAACAGATTTCAGTGACAATTCAGGCTTATCCTGTCTCAATCAGAAACAAAGCTGGGTTTCAGAACTGCCTTTCAACTATGCCCCATATTCTGGTGGTACCAACTTCTAAACTATTAGGTTCCTACAAGTTCTACTGCAAGAGGGTAAGCCAGTTGACTGATTCTTGCTGGAGAAAGGAAGGCAACTCAGCCATTGCAGTACACATCCCAGCTGGGAGCAGCGTGCAGGCTAAGGTCATATGCCATGCCCACCAGCTATACCTGCACACGGGTGACAAAGAATACACAACCTCTCACAAACCAGGCTTTAGCAGTTTTGCTGTGAAAGCCATTTTGCTTGTAATCTGTTAAAGTGTACTGTCTTCAGGCTCATGGGTGTCACAAGTTAGTCTCTCGGTGCTTTTTTGTACAGGAACATACAAATGCTACACTAGTAAAACACTTCTCAAGATAACACAAATAGTGGCTTTGCTGGGCAAGTCAAACCAGCATCAGAGAGCAAAGTAGTACTGGTGGGTAAAAGCCATTTTGCTAAGATGACTGAGCCTATGCAAGGGCCTCACTGGCTCCCGATGTGCTGAAGCTGTGCAAGCAGAGCAGTCCGCAGTGCAGAGCAGCACTGGGCACTATGCCCCCTACTTTCTCTCACAGCAGGCTGACAGCTTATGGTGATAATGCTAATCACTCTATCTGTCCTGTAAGCTGATCCATGAGGAGCTAGTGGATACTCCTCTCCTTGCTCACATTTTCCTTACCCATGAAAGAATAAGTGCTGGCATAACACCTTTGTCACAGGTGTCCCAAACTGAGATTTAGGAATGTAAGGAAGGGCGTAAAGCAGGGTTTAGCTCCTCCACTACTACCCTGCAGAATCCAGGTAGAACATTCAGCTGTTCTTTATTTTTTATACAAAAATGTAAGCTATTGTAGATATTTTATGCATGGAAATTAAGACTCGTCTAAGAAACTATCAGAAGGAATAGGCTCTCCAGCCTATTCTATCTCATTCAAGATAATTTTATCCAACCAATTTTTAACAAATTTAAAACATTGCCCATATCTACTTTGGCTATGAGGCGCTGGTAATCAAGTCAAGCACCATTGACTATGGGAATAGTGAACTGTAGAAAATGACTTCTCAGCATTATGTAGTGTCACAGCACAATTTAAATAACACATTCATTATTCAAGGTCTCCTAATTCGTACGTACAGAAATAGATACAGAGAGCTAAAAGAGGCTTTCAAGCTTTCAACAGTTAAATAAATGAGCGACCAATATCATTACAGGTGTATTGTACCCTCTTTAAATATCTTATAGATTGTTGGAAAGTCCTTCCAAAAGTAAATTCAATAATATGAAGTGCTAATGTAGGATGAGGGATGCAGATATGGTAGAAACGTCCATTGCATACTTACACCACTTTTAAATGAATGAACAGAAGATTTGAGAGAAACTGTGCAGTCTGGGCAGGAATATCAGGCATTATTACGCTGATGTACAACAGGGCTCTTACAACTGTGATTACAGAAATCTAATATTGAAGTCATGCTCTTTTCTGTAATTTCAGTAGATGTCAGTATTTGTTTCTGTGCAAGGCAGAATTTATTGCACAGATTGCTGTCTTGATTTTTGTAAGCATTTAGAAGATTCCAAAGGGAAATTGTTGCAATTGCATCCTATCTGACAATTCTGGTAGGAGCACAGGTGAGGAACATTATATAGCTTTTTTTTTCGTGGTACCCAAACCAGTTTCATATAATTTCTGTAACACAGCAATTTCAGACTATACTTAGATGCAAGATGTGAAATACAATACGACATAACTGCTCATATAAAGATATAATAACCTGAGCTGTTCATAAGTCACTTCTGAGGAAATCTACCAACCTGATATTTGCCTGCACATTTTTAAGAGGCCCTCCCTGCAACTCCTTTCCTCTCTTGTATTTCATTATATCACATTCAAATTTACTCTGTAACTTTGCCTCTGTCTTGCTGTCATGCTCTGTCCTGCACAAAAAGCACCCTCTCTTAGGGAAGCATCAGTTCAATCCTAAGGCATTTCCACTCTTCATGGCAATCCCATGTGTAGAATTTTCTTTTTATGCTGATTACTTCTCCATATGCAATCCTTCCTCACTCATAACTAAGGAGGAGACATTTTGTATTTACCAAAGGAGATGAACACACACAAACTGTCCCTGGTGACCTGTAAGCCCCTCCTGTAGCAGGTCACGGCCAGGAGATCAGGACTGTGAGTATGCTGTATGCAGCACTTCCCCTGTGAGGCACCAACACTCTTTTTGCCTTAAGGCTGATGGAAACTGGCTCTAGTGAAGTCAGCTGAACTGCACGAAGTTGCAGTGGATTTGGTTTCACGTTACCTAGCTGTTAAAAGTGATCACCAAGCCACATCACTCATTTACTGAGCACACTGTATGAATCTCTGCCTCCCCTGATGTCTGTGTTGCTCTTTTTAGGAGCTAAATATGTACACAAGCATGTAGGTCAGGCCAAAATTCATCCTTGCCCAGTATCCTGTCTTTGGGCTATCAGCAGGAGTTTTCAGAGAATGAGAATAAGAAACAGGACAAATCAGAAAGCCTTCTACATACTCCCTCAGCTTCTAGCAATCAGCTGCTTAGAGGACTTTCCGAACGAGGGCTTGCCAAAGTACCATCATGCTAATAATCCCCCATGGACCTCATGTCAGTACTATATCTCATTTTT